TCCACTGTTTCCCCTTTTGGGGAGAATTTTCTTTAAGGGTTTATCAGCTGACAGATTGAGCCGTCCTCACTTCTGCCAGGATGTGGCCTGGCCCCCCTCCCCCACCCAGTTTGTTCCAATCCGCGATGTTATCTTGAGTGACATCAAAGTGCAGCTTCCCGATCAGGGGCATCACATGAGTTCTGGGTGCTCGGGCTTCCTAGGGGACCTCGGCTACCAGGGAGTCCTCAACCCAGAGCCTCTGCAGCTGCCCCGCCCACAGGTCACCACAAAGGGGCGCCGGCGTCCCCAGGCCGCAGGACCGAACGGTCTTCAGACCCACCTGGGATGCACCCAGGGTCAGCGCCTGGCGGGAACCACTGCTGCAGTGACCAAGCTCTCCCCATTGCGTGAACGGCTCCCCCGTCCCTGTGAGCAGAGGTTGGAGGGAGGACTGTTCACGGGGCAGTTCCGCCTCAGCAGGGACAGGACAGCGCAGGGACCAAGGATGGAAAGGGCCAGGAGTTCTCAGGAAGCCATGTGGGCACCTTCGGCAAACAGGCTGATCAAGTTCTGAAATGCACGTTATTCCACGTATTGGGTGTCCCTCACTAATGCTGTCAGAACAACCCAGGAGACTGACTTCTACATTCGTAAACTCTGCTCTCAGAAAAATTTGTCAAAACTCAAATTTTGAGCCGGAGAATGTAACGGAAGGCTAGTAAAAGCCCTCAGTGGTAACAGTGCATTCCTTCCAGATCACATCCCGGGGTGGGGGGGGTGGCGAGAGAGTGGAAACACAAGGTCAAGGAGAAAAGGAAACAGTGTAAAGTTTCTCACCTTCAAGAAAAGCTTCCCTTTTTGTAGATGAATATAATGGTGGGACTGAAAGCAAATCAGGACTGTGGCTTCACCAGACAGGTGTAAAAGTGACAGAACACGACAGCCAAGAGAAGGAAGCAACCTAATATCCGTCGATGGACGAATGGATGAACAACGTGGTACATCATCCACCCTGTGAAAATATTCAGCCCTATGAGGGAACCAGATGGTGACACAGGCCATGACGGCTGAGCCTGGAGGGCGGGACGCCAGTCACAAGAGCAGACCCACTGTGTGACCTGAACGGTACGAGGCTCAGCAGTGAGGGGACAGCTCTGCCTGGACGGGCTGGAAATCGCCTACTTTGCATCCATCTGAACCTATGAAGAAAATGATGAGGTGTCAACGTAAGAAGCAGGAGTGGGTAGATGTTTTTCAAGATCCTTTAAGAGGCACTCGAGCCAGACAGCTGGGAGGCAACGGTGCTGAGTGACCCCCAGGGCCCATCCTGTGACCCAGACAAGGGTCAAGCCCAGGAGAAAGGTGTCTGGTTGGGACCCGCAGGCGACGTTCCCACCTGAAGGATATCCCTGGCCGTGGCGACAGTCTACAGGGTGAGGCAGCTCTGAAATGAGGGGGTCAAGTGAATTCTCCAGAATCTTCTGGAAGTTGCTGGAACTGTGTAAAATCCACGTGCTAACTGTGGGGCCATGAGCCAGGCCCCTCAGGTCTGCTCAGAGAGGAAAATCCCACTGGGGTAGCAGGGGCTGCCGTGGGGTGTTCCCATCAAATCCGGTGAATCTGCCCTGCTGACCAGCGACCCGAGGCACTGCAACCCCGTCCTGCCATGGACTCGGCCGGGCGGACGACAAGCTGAAATTGGCTCCCCATTTGCCTCTGGACACCTCAGCTCCATCTCCCCGAGCAGGGGTGCCCTTCCCGCTCCCCCCATTTGTCCTGAGCAGAGATTTGTCCCGGGAGAGAAGTGAGATGGACTTTGCACACCTTTGTGCCTTTGTTTTCTGGGCCCCCGACGCCTCCCCTGCACGGAGGTGGGCGCACCGCCCTGCACCCTGACGCTGGCCCCTGTGCCCCGGTCCCTCGTCTGAGACGGAGGATGCTGAGTGTCTTGTTCTTTGGTTTCAGCTGCAGGTGAACCTGCTCTCCAAATTTCTGCTGATTGCGAAGTCTAGCTACGAGCAGAGGAACTTCGCAACAGCCATGCAGATCCTAGGCGGCCTGGAGCACCCGGCCGTGCAACAGTCCCCTGTGAGTCACCCGGGGGGGCCCGGCTGCAGCCACACAGTGGGCACAAACAGGGCTATAGGAGTTTCACCTGTGCTTTTATTTTAGGCCTGGAGAATTCTACCCGCAAAGATAGCAGAGGTCATGGAGGAGCTGAAAGCCGTGGAGGTACCCCTTTGCGTGAGCTCCTGGGCAGCTCACATCCTGGGGGGGGGG